TCTCTGTGAGTTTGAGGCCAGCCTGGCTCAGTGCGTACCGGATGGTAGAGTGGGCTCCTTCTCCAGCACCAAACAAAACCCAAACCAAATGTGACCAACTGATTGCTATGATGGCTTTCCTGTAAGCCATACACTCAATTCTGTTTTTTCACTGTCCCCTCACTTGAATGTGCATTGGTCTTATGACTTGGTAGGGTCAACAGAAAACAGTGGAAGTAACAGGTCCCAGTTCTGAGTGGAAGTCTCAGGTAGCCTGGTGATCTTTCACTCTGTCTTCTGGGACATGTCACAGCCGGGATAGTGGCTAGAGTTAGTCCGTTGGGCACGGAAGACCACATGGAGGAAATCCCGGATGTTCCAGAAGACATGGAAGGTTAGCCACTGCCACATCACATGGATCTCATGAGGGTTCCCACCAGGCTCAGACGGCATGTGAGGGAACCCAGCCAAGGCCAGAAGAACCCCCAGTTGAACTCAACCCAGACCATAAAATTACTTTTTATGCTGGTGTTGACAGCCGTTGAGCTGAATGCTGGTGCACAAGTAACCTCTGACAGCTGCAGGAAGATAAACTAAGAACAGATACTGGTCAAGTGTTTGCTGTACCTGAAGCCTGTGAAATGAGGCCGGTTGGCATCCCACTACCACAGAGGTATTTGACACTGACTCCCCCAGAGAGGCATACCCACCTTAGAAGAGAGGATGCTCCCAAAGGTGGAGAAGGTATCCTAAAAAGCCTTGCTGTCAATAAAATCTTTCAAGTTTTTAATAAAAATGTTGCCCTGTTTGTTTGTTTTGGAGACAGGGTCTCACTATGTCGTAGCTTTGGCTGGCCTAAAACTGACTATGTAGACCAGGCTGGTCTTGAACTCAGAAAATGCCTGCTGTACTCTTCCTAGTACTGGGATTAAAGATATTTGTCCATGACTGGCTTTGAAATATTTTTTGAGGGAATAATATTTAATCATTAACTCTGGCTGCAGCTTTCACACTGTTCCTTGTTTCTACAAGTGTACGATATAACTGGATAGTAGATAAATACATATGCTTCGTGTGGGATCATGACTGGATCTTCCATAACTCAAATATACCTTACAGCAATAGAAAATATATTTCCTTCCCACATAATACTCTTCTGTCTTGAACTGTTTCATTTTTATTATTGTTATTGATCTGTTTTGAGATAGGTTCTCACTGTGTTGGCCAAGCTGGACCTCTCACCTTAGCCTCCCAAGAAGCAGGGACCACAGATGCTTAAACCATCACACCTGATTCCTAGTTTCTTGCTGCTGTTCATTTGTGTCTTAGCTATGTGTTCTGTCTCTATACAAGGCCTCTTGCACGCTTTCTCTTTACCATGCCTTTTGAAAAATAGTCATCCTGGGGCTAGAGAGATGGCTCAGCGGTTAAGAACACTGACTGCTCTGGCAGAAGAACTGGGTTCAAATCCCAGCATCCACATGTCAGCTAACAACTGTCTGTAACTCCAGTTCCAGGGGATTCGACAGCCTCTTCTGTCCTCTATGGATATCGCACAATATGGTGCACTTAACTGCATGCAGGCCATACACACATTCACATAAAATAAAAATAATAAATTAAAATATTTTAAAAAAAGAAAATAGTCATCATTATACCTGAACTGATCTGACTTACTGAATGAAGAGAACTCGGAGCCTGTCTTGCTCCCACCCACTGTGGGCACGTGAGTCACCTGAAACTAAAATATTACCGGGTGTTGTCTGTCTGAAGATTCAGGAGCCTAACTGAATTTAAGTTCGAAGCTTTTTGTGGCATTAGGAATGGCAAAATGAGGATGTCTGAGTTCTCATAATATGAATGTTCTTTTCCAAAAATGTGATCTACTTATAGAATATAAAGTATCAGTTTTAAATATTGTATTTCCACTCTTTAATTGCTACAAATCTGAAGCACTAAGGGGAATCACTGAGGGTTTTTCAACTTGGAAAATAAGGTGATTCAATTTTAGAAATGGGATAAGTATTCAATTTCAGGTGAAAAATATGAAGGTTTTTTTTTTTCATAAGCATCAAATTCTGCCACTTCTGATTAAATTATTTCCTATTTCCCATTTTTTGAGCAAAAAGTTCACTTCAAAAACGCAATTGCCTTCACAGAAGGAAAGTGGGTATCTTTTTCATAATTAAGTACTGCTTGTCTGGAATCAGAAAGCCTCTCTATGAAGCTGTTGAGAGAAACCTAAGTCTGACACACCTTTGAGTGTAGAAAGGTTATTGAGAAGGCTCTTCACTCTGCACTTTTCTTTGCCACTTACAGATTAATAGACACACATTTTCCATGTTCCATGTACTTCTTTGGTATCTCTAATAAAAGTATAGGAAACTCCAAAAGTGGGAGAAATTTTTAAAAATGAAGCAGGTTTAATGAAACGGAAATACATTCTTACCTCTGAATGTCTATGGTACCTCATAAGAAGAAAAAGAGAAAACCTGTATGGAAGCACACTAAAAATCTTGATTAGTCGGGTGTGGTGGCGCACGCCTTCAATCCCAGCACTGGGAGGCAGAGGCAGGCGGATCTCTGTGAGTTCAAGGCCAGCCTGGTCTACACAGTGAGTTCCAGGACAGCTGGGGCTACAGGGAGACCCTGTCTCAAAAAGACCAAAACAAAACAAAACAAAACAAAACAAAACAAAACAATCTTCTTGCTCAGACCTTCCTACATTAGAATGGCAGGCTCAAACTCCACAAGTGCTGTCCTCAGGGATTCTTGTTCAGTGCATCTGCAGCAGAGGCTAGGAAACTGCATTTCTTCTGGAGCTGCTGACAACTGCTGATCTGGGGACCTCTCTGACGGCCAACTTTTAGACTCCCATTTCAAATCCTTGCTTTAGGATTAAGGCAGGAGCTATATATCACTATCAAGGCATGAGAAGTGAGGCACTGTACTCATGTCAACATAACCTCATGTAGACTCATACATATACACAAAATTGAAAATTAAATCTTTTTTAAAAATGAATTCTCAGCCAGCAAGATGCTCAGCAGGTAAAGATACTTGCAGCCAAGCCTAAGCACTTGAATTGGATCCTCAAGATCTACATGGTAGAAGGAGAGAACTGACACCAGCAAGTGTCCTCTGATCTACATGTGCATGAAACAGCAAGTGCCACAACTCTAGTTTCAAAAGTCTACTCTGACTAACCACAGCAGCCTGAACCACTGCATTAAGGATTCAGCATCTGTTCAGTGGAGAAGATAAATGTCCTGGACGAGAAGAACGGCAGTGGATGTGCCTCCTATCTGCCTCCTTTGTACAGCAGAATAAAAACACTGCACCTATGGTCAGCAAATCCACAGTCCAGCAATGTGTTAACAGAGCTACTAGAATAATATTTTTAAAATACAAAGAGGATCAGGCCACCAATGATTTTCCATTCCACTCAGAGTAAAGCTAAAGTCCTTATCACAAGAGTGCAGTGCTCTCTGGTTCTCTAGTACATTCTGATCTTATTTCCCACTACACACTCCCTGAGCAAGACCCTGCCTCAGGATCTCCGTATGTGCTGTTCTTACTGCCTGAAAAGCTTTTCTTCTGGATATGGAGATAGTTCACAGCCTCACTCTCTCATCTGTAGCATCCTCCTTCAATCTATGTTTTAAAAGCTACACAAGGCCGGGCGTGGTGGCGCACGCCTTTAGTCTCAGCAGAGGCAAGACGATCTCTGTGAGTTCAAGGCCAGTCTGGTCTACATAGTGAGTTCCAGGCCAGCTAGGGCTATAGGGAGACCCTGTCTCAAAAAGAGACCAAAAAAAAAAAAGCTACACACACACACACACATACACACACACACACGCTCCTTTCTCTCCCTAACCTCCCTTTTGCTTTGCTTTACATTTTCTACAGCACCAGTATCTAACACACTATTTTACTTATATTCCTTCTTCTAGAATGAAATCTCCATAAGAAATGGTCTCTTACTTGTTCGGTTTACTTCTATGTCTCCACAATAGTGTCAAGCCCACAACAGTCCTCAAACACCACTGTCTACATGAATGATCAAATAGCTTATCAATAAAGCAAATAAACCTGGGCTCTGGCATGGGTTCAAGTGACTAATCAGTTAAATAAACTCAAGTAAGTCATTCTACTCCTCAAAAAATCTCTACCCTTACTTACAGCATTTACAGTAGTACAAATTGTTATGGAAAATGACATAACTTCCTCTGTGTCAGTCAGCAGGATAGTGAACAGGGCTAGATAGGTCTCCTAGAGTTCGAAGCCAATTGCAAACTACGTTTTTCTAATGATCAACAGAACTATGACAGCTGAATAGCACACTTCAGAATTTAAGAATGTAAAGATAAAATTTCTTAACAGAAAAATCTTGTTAGAATATTCAAAAACAAATACAAACTCCTTAGCTTACTTTTTGAACAAAAATTTTTTGCCTTGTCTCATTAAATCCCTGCAAATACTAATAAATGTCTACAGTGGAAGGAAAATGTTCCATGGCAAAATAAGTAAACACACCCAGTTTTTCATAAGAAACATGGAAATAATTTAATATTCATCCTCTGAAAAGATTTAGAATAATCCTCTCAGCCTAAAAGCAGAATGATTAGCAAAGCAACAAGACACTACAAACATGCCAATCACCCTCCAACGTAACTCCTAGATAAAAGCCACAATCCCAAATAAACTATCAAAGGCAGCTGCATCTTCATTTGGTAACTAAATATTTCACTTACCACTAACCATTTCAACCTGGACAAAACAGGAAAATGGCAAGTGAATAAAGGATTTTTAAAGAAAAAAAAGTCACTAACCAGCACTTCTAAAATGTCACTAAAATTGCTATTGTCTAAACTCATGAGACCCTTGGCCCTGCAGCTGTCGTAAGAAAATGCTCAAGTGCTGAGCACAGGGCTGAGAGGACAGGGCCAAGAGGACAAGGCCCAAGAAGACAGGGCAGGATGATGTCTCAAAACATTTTTCCTGAAGATACAACCACTGACTGTTGCACTACTCACAAATTCATAATCTCCATCCTGTGGTATTTTCCAATCTGAAGAATTTTTCAAAGGGCCAGGTATACTCTTGCCAAAGCTGCTGACCTGGTTTTCCTTTTCTTTTTGTTCAAAGTATTCAAGGAAAGATGGTTTTGCAGGTTGTATGGTCTCATCTCTTCCTGAAAACCAAGAAAAATAAAAAATGAAAAGCAACATTAATATTTTAGTCATGCTGAATAATCAGATATCCACATGGGTTCTTCCTGTTGGATAAGGAGTCCTCCAAAATGCCATGAAGCTGAAGAAAAATGCACAAATTCTCACTCAAAATATTTCTTGTAGAAATAAACAAATTTTGAAGTCTTCCTACAATATACACAAACATTTCCCCAGGAACCCCCATTCTAGGCAGAAAGATTTTGGTACTTTGATGGTTCTGGGTAAGCTTAAAATAATAACTATATTATTATATTACTTTACTACAGCAAGTAATTTCTGAACTACTTAGACTGAAAATAACTGAAAAGCAAACAAAAACATCACTTAGTGCCCATTACATTCAATATTCTCTACAAGCATGACAATATATAGGAGGAAAACATAGGAAAGAGACTTTTCCTTTATAAACTCAATGTGTAATCAAAAGAACATGTATGAAAAAGAAAATACAAGTTAAGAACAACCCATTCATTTATGAATGTGCAGCATTTTTCTGATTGCTGCTTCCTCCCTATCAAGTATTCAATGTAGCATTGGAATGCTACCATTAGCTAAGGACCAGCTAATGAACCAACAAGTACATGCTGTGTCTTCAATGTGCTCCATGTGAAACTTCAGGTACTTTTCACATTTGTTTCCTTTAGTTTTTAAGCTTCAGGTATCATTTCATATCAAAAGAACCACAACACAATAAAACTTGTAGTGGTACTTTGGATTTGCTGAAAAGTCAGGAAGCCATGTTCTTGCTCTCAGTCCCTTCCTCTGGGAACAAGAGAAGACTGACAGAGGAGAGGACTGACTGTGACATGCCACAGTGATCCTACACATGAAAACAGAGTGCTCTGGCCAGGCGTGGTGGTGCACACCTTTAGTCCCACTACTCAGGAGGCAGAGGCAAGTGGATCTCTGAGTTCCAGGCCAGCCTGGTCTACATAGCAAGTTCCAGGTCATTTGGGGCTGCAAGGGAGACCCTGTCTCAAAAAGACCAAAAAAAAAAAAGGAGTGTTCAAGAAATCTAGAGCTGAGCTGTGGCGGACTTTTGTACAAAATATCTTGACTAGGGGCTCATGAGGTAGCTGAACAGACTCAAAAACTCAGAAACAAAAAAGAAAGACCAACTAACTAAATTGCTATTTGGAAAAAGATTGTATTGGATGTGTATCTCACATCCAAAGCAAGAAAAAAACTCCAATGAATAAACAGTAACTGCAAAATCAGAAATCGTAAGTACCAGAAATCATGTGAGTGCAGTTGACTGTGGGAAAGCCCTTCCAACTGTGATGAAACCCAGATACAATACAAAATAGATTTGATTTCATGTGCATGAAGAAAGTAGCACAAATTTGAAAATGATATTAAATAATGTAGGACACATACAAGAAAAACCATAAGAGAGAGGGTGGGAAGAGAATGCTTGCAACAAATATCATAAAATGATTTAAAGAACTTTCTTTTTAAATAAAATTTTAAGAGTCTTTTGTAGATTTGGAAAGAGAAATTCCCAATATATAAGCAATTTTTTTAATCAAGGAAACGACCCAAAAAAGGGTAGATAATGGACTAAAGACTTGTTAGTACATACAAAGACACCCAACTGTTCCTTACACATGTAAAAAGAAATGCATACGTTCACTTGTAAGAGAAACTCAAAACCACATGAGATATCAATTCTTAACATTTCGACTGGCAAAGCTTCAAAGGCCTAATAATCCACTGTCTGGTAAGGCTATGAAGACACAGGCAAGCTCATCTGTGACTGAGCTGAAATGTGCAATGTGTGACCCCAACAAGGGGACATGGCACTGAGTATGAAAACATGAACCAGGGAGCACACAGACAGCCCTGCAGTACTGAACCTCAACTAAGAGTTCTGAGCTTGTAAAACACATTCCCAAGCTTTGTTTGTTACTCAAAGGACATGGAAGCAATGGTACCCTGGTGCCAACGAGCATACCAGATTCTAAATACATCCTCTGCGAATGAGAACAATGACTCAAGAGAAATAGCTAATTCTAGGACTAAGGCAGAAAAATCATGAAGTGGGCTCAAAATATCTTTTTGTGCCAAAAAGCAAGCAAGTATTTTTATTTTTTGATGGATGGATGCTGGAGAAAGGCTTGGCTGGGACAGTATCCTGGGCTCTGTGTCCTCACCCTGGTCCTTTACAGTTGGTGATTTCAACATGGGACAGTGAGGCCAGGTGGTCCCAGTTCAAGGAATTTATCACCTGGTCACGGTTTCAGAATTCCTCGAGCACCAGGAAGAGGACCAGAGCAAAGCAAGGTCTTCCCCACCTCAGCATCCAGGCCCCACTACATCAGAAACACCTATGAGACGCCCAGCAGCCATACTACACCCTTCTCCCTAAAGACTTTCCAAATATCTCAGTGGACCAAATTCTCCCAATGAGGACAGAGAGAGACAGACAGGACTTCACTCAGTAGCCCCCTACAACCAGGAGCACCACCAGTACTTGGGGCTAATGCCTGAAACCCCAAAATATGTTCTTCCCTTGGCCCCCTGGTGACTGAACCCACTCTGGGAGATCTTAAGAGCAACAAACAGGTTTGTTGTCTTCAAATCGGTGCCCCACACCCACTCTTTTTCGAAGAAACAGTCTTTGCGGCCCTAACATCTGGGAGATTCCATCAAGTTGAGTGTCTATGGCACATCCCTTGCAACTGCAGAAATGTTCAATGTGTTACTGTAGATGTGCCATTTTTAGTAGCTCAAACACTTACTAAACTGGGCTATTTTTAAAGTCTGTTATTTATACTAAGTCCCAGACTATGTATATCTTGAGGTCTAAGAAATTACTAATGCAGTAAACTAGTGCTGCTCTAGTCAATTCAAGAATTGTCGCGAGCCGGGACTCTGTCCAGCAGAGTCCAGGAAAGACGACACAGACACCAAGGTGAGGTTCAAGCTTCTGTTTCTCTTTCTTCCTTTATTCTCTCTTATTATCTCTCATGTTCTCTTCACTATGATGCTGTCTCTCCATGATGCTGTGTCTGTCTATTACATACTTCAGCTCTTTATATAGCGTTTTCCAATAGCCCTCCCCCCAGCCGGTATCAATCAGGGCTACACACGTGCAGCGGCCAGGCAGAGTGTAGCTCATAGGCACGTAGCAAGATCATTAGGCTGGCAGCACCTGTGTTGGCTTATACTTTTGATAAACAAGCGGGAATCGCGAGCCTTGGCAATCAGCCAAGAGTTGGAGTAAACAGCACGAGGTTTGGCAGCCAGCCAGGGCGCCATCTGGCTGACTCAGCTGTGCTCGCTTCCCACAAAGAATCATTTGTCATTTTAAAAAAACTGATTGGTACATATAAAAAGACAAGAGGCACCCTGAGGAGCACCACCAACTGATAATTTGGGGAAAACATGAACACTCTGAAGTCAATCTGGGTTACACTGTGAGTTCCAGGCCAAACTGGGCTTCAGAGTGAGACCCTGTCTCAAAGAAAAAAAATTTTTAAAAATAAAGTATAAAATAAAAGTGTAAGAAATAAAACTTTGAAATCAGGGATGAAGACTCAAGAACCTTTCTGTGGCCTAATTCCAAATCCCTCTATAAAGAGCAAAGGAATGTCTGCTAAGCTAGAAGAAAATATGTCTAATTTCTATCGCTGCTTTGATGAAAAGGTGAGAACATTTGCTTTCCTTGTGTGTCAATTATTTCATTTGACAGTGACAGCCCTTCCCAACCCATTTAAAGCTTCTAATAGTTTTGAAGCTAAAACTAAAGCTAAAGTCTTCTTTGTCTCTTTCAACAACTAAGAATCACAAATAAACAATCCTACTGAAATGTCTTTGCTCTTATCTTTTGCTGTCAATGCCAGGGACCTGATTACACCTGACATTTATTAGATTTCAAAGACCCCAAAATTTTATTTTAGAATTAGATAAATCTTTTTATCTAATCACATATCAGATATAAGCTGAGAATGAAAGCCACACCTTTCTTAGACATTTAATTATAGCTAAATGATTAGTTAAAAGCTCATGTTACCAAATTATCAAGGAGGTAAAGATTATTTCTGTTGGCAAGGGAGGGTTGGGGATGTTACAGTGGTGGCCTTCCTGCATGCCAGGCAAGCAATCCAGCAACTGAGTTACGGCCCCAGCCCCTAAAGATAATTTTGACAACAAATTCCTAAGATTTTATCTTATGTGCATGCAACTGAAAGAAGGTGCAAGGTCCCTATCCAAAGAGGGTCAAAGATTTAAACTTCTGGTCCTGACTATACACAGCCAGTAGAGATGTTCAAAATCTTCTGTATTCCACTAAAATGTTAATAAACCTCAGCAAGCCTCCCAGATGGCAAAATTCTATATGGAGGGGCCCAGTCAACAGATGTCTTACTGAGGCACTCATAAACTGGCCAGCCCCAGGTGCTAATATACCAGATCAAAAGAAATGATGGAGTACAATTTTTCTGCCAACCTATAGAATTACGATTCAAATAAAATGGCTGCTATTTTTAAGCCTCTGAGTTTTGGAGTGCTTTGTTTAGCAGCAAAAGCTACAGTCTAGTCATTCTCCACCCCACCCGACCCCCGTACCCCCAACTCACACACCACTCTATATCCACATCCTTTAGAAACCCAGGTACAAATTCGACTAACACTGATTTGCTAAACACCCAGGTTTGGGGCTTTCCTGTGGGTGTTTTCACGTGATTTACATCTGAACTTCCTGACCACTACAGAAGTAGACTTGCATTAATAGGCACCTACCAAGTGCCACATAAAATAGTGTTTTCACCTACTCCCCACGAGATCTTTTGATGTATGTTATGATGCTATTCTACAGATGAGGTTTACCTAACACTTTATAGCTATGACCCACAAGGACAGGATTTGAATGTCAGCCATCAGATTTTAAGCCTGGTGAGTTGTACCCCATACTGTGACTTTTTTCTAAAACCAAAATGAAGATTCTTGATATGTTTGC